TGAACATAAAATGAATTTGTGTGGCCAACTTACGAAAGTGAGCAAGAAATCCTATATTTACATCCAGGCTAGGGCAACAATAGAGAATGTAAACATGAGTGAATTTCGTGAGAGTTCGAGATAAACCTTTCCTTGCCTGATGGATTTCGGGGTTTTTCTGTTGCTAAAATGTAACAAAATTGTTCCGACAACCCACCCCTATATACCCCCCCCCCCAATTAAAATGGTCCAGCGATCTCAACGCATGGCCCTTTTTTCATTTTGTCTCCCCCTTGCACGACCCATCCGACACATACCTGAAATACACAAAGAGAATCATGTCTCCCCCTATCGATTTCAACGTCACCGTTTATTTTTTTTAAGTATTTTTGCTTGAATTCTCATAGTATAGTTTAACATTGTGCGCCCCCTCCCGAATAATGACCTGGATCCACCCTAGTTTACGGTTATAAGTTTGCTCCGTCTATATAGTTCATATGTGTAGTGCATTGTATTTCGAGAATAGAAATTGTATTTCTGTACCAGAATACCACCGACCAAAATGACTGGTGTTCAACACCTGGCAGTTACAATTATTCAATAGAATAATTAAATAAGAGAGAAAATAAACGGCTGGATAGCCCATATTCAGCGGTATCGTTATGGTGCCGTTGGTCTTCCAAGGTGGGGGGGGGGGGGGCTAGAAATGGTACAGTAAAACAATCCAATATACATAAACAAACGACAGAGGACGATGGCAAAACATCAATTTCCCAAACAAAATATATTAATAAAATGAAACGGCCATGACACACAGTAGAGTAAAGAACTAGTACCATAGAAACATCGTTGTGTGAAGTAAATCGCAAATAAATGAGAACTCTTGACATGCTCTACGGTCTCTAAAGGTCTCATGTGGTTCACATTTTAGCTACAACAAAACATCTATAGAGATCTAGGTTCATAAGCCTGCTGTCAAATGTCTTTACAGCTAATTCTACTATTCGGATGATATAGCAGAGAGAGTCAATAGTTTCAAGTTTAACGGCGGCGTATTATTGTCATCGAACTATTCAAATAGCATTAGCGAGAGGTTGAACAAATAATAATGATAGTACATCGTCGTTAACCTTGACAATATTAGGGACTTTTAGATTTGCATGGACCGATACGGATGACGTCCATTCACGGCAGTGCATTAAAAGGACGTCGATCGTAGCATAGACCTATTGTCTCCGTGCAAATCTAAAAGTCCCTATTATTCTCAAGGTTAACGACGGCGTATTATTGTCATCAAACTATTCAAATAACATTAGCGAGAAGTTGAACAAATAACAATAATAATACATCGTCGTTAACCTTGACAATATTCATCCTTTTCTCTCTCTGCTAAATCATCCGAACAGTGGAATCAACTGTAAAACGAATCATTGTCTTCATTTAAGAGACATTTGACAGAAAGCTTATGAACCTAGATCACTATAGATGTTTTTGTTGTAACTATTATGTGAATCACATATTCAGTGGCCGTAGAGCATGTCGAGAATTCGCATTTATTTGTAGTTTACTGCACACAATTCTGTTTTTATAATACTAGTTTCTTTTCTCTACTGTCTGTCATGACCAATTCATTTCTTACTATTTCAAAGTGCACGTTACATTAAATGAAAGTAGCAATGGCGAAAGATTGTTGCTTAAATTCAGCAACAATCGTTACTTGCTAAAATTGTTTTGCCATTAAATTACAACAAGAATAATGCTAGATGAAACTGTGATCGACGAAAACAATAGTGTCTTGAACGCACATGGCAAATATTCGAAATAAAAATGAATGAGACATAAATGTGATCAAGTAACCAATATTTTTTCCTTGATGATAATCCCCCAGTACCAAGTAACCAAGCCAAACTCGGGAAAGTTGCAAATAAGGGTTGATTTGAAGACGATTATTTATGGCATACTGTGTATTGTCGAGATATTTAATGAGATATCAAAACGCTTAACCTTGGGGCTAACTTTGATTCATGGGGTAATCGCGTCCGGTAAGGTGCTGGTCGCGTTATACGACCTTTCGTAAAATATGAAAGGGGAGGGTCATGTACATATGGCGTAGTGTTTTCACATAGTAGGCCCATTCACACAGCCCAAACACCATTTTGATGAAAGGGCATATGCATGTCCCCAATCTTAGTGTGAAAGAGAGAGAGAGAGAGAGAGAGAGGGAGAGAGAGCGAGAGAGAGAGAGAAGGAGAGAGAGAGAGAGAGGGGAGAGAGAGAAGGAAGAGAGAGAGAGAGAGAGAGAGAGAGAGAGAGAGAGAGAGAGAAAGTGGATGGTCTTAAATGAATTTATCTGCATGTAAATGCCAAGGACCACTTTGTCTTTAAAGTGGCAAACACGTTTGAAATATAGGGATTCACGCGCAAATAAGTATCTTAAACTACTAGTTTGTGTGGATTCAATTCTAAAAAGTGATCCCTAATTATGAGTCCTGAAATGTCATGGTTTAATTAAAGAGGCAGAAATGATGTTTTTTTCCCCTAAAGATTATACCATGAGACAAAAGTAAAGCATGGATAGTTGGTAACACGTCCTAGTAATACTACAATAATGATATGTAATAGCAACTGCTCTATCAGACAACATCTTCTTTAACATTCTGTTTCCATGACAACGGCCTAATTTGTTAAACTTGAAATTACTTAATTGTTTATTATAATCAAATGGACAATTATATCTATTAGATGTTTACCGTTTGTTTCATGTTGTTAGAAAAATAATAATATTTTTTTGTAATTTAATATTTCGCTTTTTGTTTCATTGTAACCGTCCAGCGATCACGTCCATCACCTACTGTATGGCAAACAGAGGGATTATCATACCCGAGGGTACAAGAAAACAGAAAATCATCATTTTTAATCATCATATTATGGAAACTTTTGTTTAAAGCCCCACTGTCCTACTTGTAGCTACTTGCTCCCTCTATATAGAAAACTTCCCCAATCGGTACCTGTTGGTCCCCCATGATCCTCTTTTTCTTATGTTAGTTGAGAGCTGAGTTTAATGAGATAGCCACCTGTCAGTGACCTCGCTGTGTGGTCTAATCCCTTCTGGCCCAGTATCATTGGCGGTCTTTAACAGTTTTTAAAATTAGTTTCAAGTTTTTGTTCTTTTGTTTTTGTCTTTTTAACACATATACTTACAATCACAAGGCTTGTTCCTTTCTTGCTGTCCCTCTCATACTTAATCCAATGTATACTTTGTTATTAATTTATCTTGCAAATTTTACCCTTTGTATTATGTTGATTTATGAATGTTTGCATGTGTTTTCTGGATTTTTATGGGCAAATAAATTGAAATTGAAAAAAATGACAATGTGGCAGTTTAACTTAAAGTAGCAAAATATATGAAAATTTCCAAAATTCTTATGTTCTTGATCTGTTACCATTATGTTTATAGCCCTATGTTCACATTCACGCGCACTTTCTGATAGGGAAGGGTCCTAACTTCTAACCAACAGAACAAAACAAATATTTGAGAAGTTAAGTCTCAAGGGTGTATGCCTTTTCAGATTTCAATCCCAATGGACTAATATTGATAATAATATGTGGGAATTGCCATGCACTGTTCATGTACAGGTGTTTCCTCTCAAAATGCGCATTCCGTAAAAAGACATTAATTCATTTGGGATAATAAACAAAAATGACTTATCCATCACATTACTGGTTTGTTCTTTGTTGTGTAAAGAACTTTGAATTATGATTAGTTTCATTAGTTTCATAACCCCATAGTTATAATTAGTTTCATAACCCCATAGTCTGAGTCTAGTGTTGCCACGATTAGAGTACTGCTCTGTTGTATGGTCGAACAGATTTCATTCTTATACAACTAAGCTGCAAAAAATTCAAAAGAGGGCCGCAAGAATAATATTGAACAAGACATATGACACACCGTCGGCTGATTTGTTCAGTTAAGTCGCGTTATGATGATATATAAATGCGTTCATAACTTAGCACCTTCTTACCTTCAGGTAGGCTTAATCAATCCTAATGATGTACATGAGCATCATACAAGGCAAATAGACAGTGGATGTTTACGTGTGCCTAGATTTCACACTGATTGTTATAAGTGTAGCCCAATTGTTTCTTCCATATTTGAATGGAATAAGCTAGATAATTCGTTGAGAACGGCTTCCTCTGTCAATTCATGAGCTTGTTTAAACAAAGTTGTAATTTGTGAATGGCTCAGCCGAACATACACTACGTGCATGTTCTGTAAAATTTACATGACTTATTTACATAATTGCGACTTAATCAATATTTTCCTATTAACATTACTGTTTACTAGGGTAATTAATTATGTTTGTTTTGCAAATGAGTATTATTTTTTTAACTGTTTTGTATAAACGTTATAAACGATGTAAATATGTTCATGTTTATTCAGGGCCCCCTGGAAGACCACTACTTGTTGGTGAATGGGCTACCCTGTCAAAAGATCAGAAATAAATAAATAAATCACACCTGTATGGTATGCGTGTAATATCCAACATTCAAATGTATATTAAACATGTTTATTTCTTCAAACTCATAATGAAAATTATAACAATTTAAAGGTCTTTACCGAATAATACATGATTCGGTAAAAATATAATAATTTGGTTTTCTGTCAAGTTTTGAAGAAAGAAAAATGGCATTTCGTTATTTTTTAATGTGCGTGGCTTCCACCCGTATCTTATTCCTTAGTATTTCTACAAGAGTTTAGCATGCACGACATGCTTAACCCCCCCCCCCCCAAAAAAAGGGCCACGGAGTCTTTTTCTAGAGCCTTTTTTAACCCATTGTACATGGGAACCGGTGTTCCCTGTATTAAACCAATGGAAATTAGAGAATTCCGTAGTCAAGGGTTTAGTTTGGCTGGTCCACTACATTATAAAATGGTCGATGCGTCACAAAACAAAGGTCTATGTACTTTCAAAGGTGTGGCAGCGCGTAAAATGCGTAGGTAACACACACGAGCGCACAAGACATTCTCGAATCCAAACAAAATTCTGATGTAAACACCGGAAAGAGATCATACATTCGGAGTAAGCAGTTCTGCAGGTAGCTGTTTCCTCATCGTTGGGTCCGAAATGGCGGGAATATCCGTGTCGAAAATCTCCTTGATGGTTTGGTTTGTCGTTTGTATCGGAGTTGAGACAGCTTCTGTTACCAATGATAAGGTATGTATTACAATCTTCTACTATCCCTTTGCTTACGGTATAGATAATTATACAGCTATATTGATTTACGGCCCACTTCAAAGCCATTATCTTTATGAGCCATCGCCTTTTTTTATCATGTTAAGTAGACTTTGGATCAGAACAGGCCACACCTCGAAGTGTTTCTTTAGCCTAGGAAACATGCAATGATATGGGGCAATGGGTGACTGCAATCTTGCCATTTATAAAGATGACAATGCATTATCATTGTGCGTTAAAGTATATGTAGGTTGACAAATGAGTGTTACGTTGTAATGCAACATCAAATATTGCATCAAACATACAGAACAATTTAATGTGAGAGAAATCAGGTATCAAGCCTGAGAATAATCCCAAAAAAATTCCAAACTTTAGTATTAATAGATAGTATTAACATATTAACGAATACTTTAATGTGGGCCTACTGCATAAGGAGAGAGAGAAAGCTAGATAGAGAGAGAGAGATATATATATATAAAGGCAGACACACACACACACACACACAGAAAACCAGAGAGAGAGAGAGAGAAGAAGAGAGAGGGAAGGGAGGGAAAGAGAGAGAGAGAGAGAGAGAGAGAGAGAGAGAGAGAGAGAGAGGGGACGGGGATATTATAAATTAAGGTAGGAGGAAGGGGAAAAGCTGAAAGAGCGAGGGGCCAGGGAGAGACGGGAAAGAGAGAGGTAGAGAGAGAGAGAGAGAGGGAGAGAGAGAGAGAGAGAGAGATATCTAAAAATGAGTGACGGGCCAGATTAAACGTGACAGAGAGCGTACGAATGAGAAGATAAACACAAAAGACGAGTAAATATTGATCGATAATGTGTGCATTTTAAAGGAAAATCGTATCGATTGTTTGTTCCTTGAACCTTGATCAGTCAAACAGCCTAGATTGGGATTGGGAAAGACCTCTACGTATACACATGAGTAATAGTATAGAGTACCGAAGTACTAACCCTCGTATTCACTCGACGTATGGGTTCATGGTCCCTGCGCATGAGGTTTACTGCGAAATAATTCAAGAAACGGGCCGGAGCGGGGACAGTATAGAGTAATTGGGACTGGTGTGAAAACCACGCCATTGTTTAGCACAAAATTATCTGGAACAGGCAACATTTTATTGACAACTTTGCCAGTATGACGTCACACTTCGGTACTCTGTCATTATGGAGTGGTCAGTAATTCGGAATCCTGAGGAATGTCCGTTTGATAAGTAGTTATTTTGAATCTTGGAAATCGCTCATGAATTATCTTAACAATGACCGTGACAAAAAGATGTCTAATTTAACGATGAATGTTAGTAAAAAAAAAAAATATATAGCAGACTTAGCTTATGATAAAGATAAGTAACACCCCCCCCCCCCCCCCCACCCCAGAGGCTGTATATGGCATAATTATGGTCCGGCAATAAAATGCTCCTCGATCACTTTTTGCTGTGAAAAGTTGGCAGGAATGCTAACTCCTCTTACCTACCTGCATATTTTTATCCAAGTAAACATTAAGCGTTTTTTATGGTCAAGTGTAATTTGAAATGAGAACCTCATCGTGTACTCATTGTACAATCTAAAACAAAAGTCTGTTTCCGAGGTAACACATTTTATAGTTGCAGGGGATATAGAAAATCTAGTAGATGAATTATACATCCTAAAGGCATGATCGATATAGGAGTAAAAGGATGAAAGTCCTTTTAATTCTCATAAGAAGGAATCGATTCGTTCAACTTCAACTTCAAATTAAATAATGTATTAAAACCAATATTGGAAGAAAAACCCATTGTAAACGCAAATGCATATTCACATCACACTCTATGTGTTTTATCAATGTCCACGTTATCTTAAAGGTACTATGTCCCTTTTGCAGCCAACCTCAAATGCTGTAGAACTTTGCAGGAATTATGAATATGTCATGTATGTCCTATCTGTGAAATTTAAACGTTAGCAGTGTCCTCATATTCAAATTATGCAAGGAAACCCGTTTACTTTATAGACTTCACTGTCAGACACTATTGAGTCACTGACTGGCTTTTTTTTCTTCTTTGCTAATAACATGAAAAGTGTTGTAAAGGGTACATTAGCATTTGTCTACATCAATAACCCACTTCTTGTGATGGCCAAGATTAAACTGATTGAATCTTTGCGCAGCATAAAAAGTATGACCATTCGGTACAATTGTCTGAAAATCAAGACTATTACTTTTGGGCTCTATAGCCCTAAAGTCGATTTGACAACTAATAATCGTTATTTTCCCACTCGAAGACATTTTCAAGCCCCACCTTTTTTAGGGGAGTTCTAAATTAGTATTATCTTTCAAATGCAGTTGGAATTTAACTTTTTCATTTTTTTGGCCTGCAAATGGGACATAGTACCTTTAAGGGCAATTGGTATCTGCTATAAACAATTCGATTTTGTAAATAGATTATGGAAATTTAATCGCATTTAAGTTAAACAAAAGTAAGGAAACAGTTGGAGGTGTCGTGATGTAGTGGACATGTCATCGCACTGTTGATCAGGGGGTGTTTCACAGAACTTGTCATCAGTAACAAATGACAGTTTTTGTTAAAAGCTACTGAAATACTTGCTTCTGATTGGTTATCAGCAGATTTGTCACTGGTATTTCTCATTTGTCATTGAAAAAAGGCTTTGTGAAACGGGTCCCAGGTGGTTCGCGGCTCCAGTCCTGCTGTGGAACAAATGCCATTTTAGCAAGACATTAATCTATATTTACCACACTCGATCGAGGTGAGCTAAATGGGTACCTGGCACGAATTAATTTCTTGAAATGCTCGGGCGCCATAATGGCAGCCATGTTTAAACCGGGGCAATCATTTTGGAGCGCTAGAAGTGGCACTTCTGATAGACCTGAGCGCTATAAAAGAACCTGATATTGTCAATTCATCTTAAAGCCTATCTGCACTAGTTTGGCCAGGAGGGATTAGACCTCCCTGCATGGTCACTGACAGGTGGTTATCTCATCAAATCAGCTCTCAATTAACATAAGGAAAAGGGGACCATGGGGGAACAACGGTCACCACTTAGGCATTGTTTGATATATAGGGCGCAAGTATAGCAATAGGTAGTGCAATTGGGCTTTAAATAAGAATCTTCTTTTTCTTAATATACCAGGAGAAGGTCATCTTCATCCTTGCTGACGGTCTAAGATGGGATCGATTCGGTCAGGCCCTACCAAACTTCATCAAGATGGAGGAGAATGGAGTAAAAGCTGATTGGTTGAATGGCGTCTTCATGACCATGACTATTCCTAGCACGTTCTCTATCGCTACAGGTGGGTACCTGAATGTGTCTAAATAACAATAGTAACCATTTGGGTTTATTTATGGTGGTGGTGTGTTGTTCTTTTTGACCTGACTGCTAAGAAAGCATACATTCTTGTAAGTAAGCAACCAGACAGCCGACGGCTTTAGGTCCTCTCCGAGGGACCTGGTAATGAGGATTAATGCCTTACCAAAGGGCACTAGCGCATCAAGACCACTGCTCTACCGAGTGAGGGTAACCGCATCATATGTACAACTACTCATGCGGGCCGTACAACTATTCATACCCAATCATTACCAGGCACTCGTTTAATGCATCTCGGTCCAAATGTGGGTAAAATGCAAATGCATACATCCGGCAAGGATCGAACCCAGAAACCCTTCGTATCAGAGTCGAGATCTTTCACCAATATCATAATTAGGCCTACTTGGTATAAAAGTTTTCTTAATCATTGGGGGGGGGGGGGGTCGCATTCTTTTTTACCTCAGGCGCCAATTCCTAGATATACCACTAAGTGGGATAAGAGACCACATCGGCCATAGGATGTTGGTTCGTCGTGTATACGATTTGCAGATAATTTTAGGCTATTTCGTGAAAACGAGAAGGCTGAAAAAACCCTCTGATTTCGCTATCAATATTCAAATGGCAAATGGGAAACCCTCGATCCCTCAGTAAGGATTCATACATTTTTCAGATTTCAGTTAGTATGCCTTCATCCGGTATCCGTGTCCGGTACGTAAGGTCCGCGTTTTCCTTAACAAATTTTGGATAAATTGCTTTAACCATATCAACAGTTATCATGTGATTTATACAATTATAACAACTGTGACCCGTCGTGTTATTAAACAAATAATTCAAGATTCAAGATTCAAGATTTTATTGTCCATAATATAATACAGAAATTTGTTTTCCATTTGTATAACATGTAATACATATAAAAATAAGACAAAAACATGGTGTCGTGTGCTGAAAGCCAGAAGGGCGTCAAGACTCTATAAGAAAAAGTCTATGAGCAGGTATGGTCCTCTGGCTTTCAGCACAAAACATGACAAGACAGTTATATGACTTATACATAGCAAGAATTTTAAATACAATTCTGAAACACATCATGAATAAATTCAGGTATGAATATAGATGTGAATATGAAAGTAGAATAGGAGCAGCATCACAATCGAAAAAAGTAGTGACGGCATTAGTAAGAATTACCCACACAAGGTACCTTTGGAACAGTCTAACACGCCCGAGGCGATAGCCGAGTCTGTTTGGACCGTTTCGAAGGTACCGAGTGTGGGTAATTATACTATTAAGGCCGAACAAAATGAATTGTATTATTGTTTTATAAGATGATGTTTTATTTGTTTTATAAAATGATGTTTTGGTCATTAGTAAAATTACGTGTTAGGCAAAATGAATGCCTGGTCACGTGTGTGCTCTCAACCAATCACTTGATTGGGATCCACTACATCATCTTTATAAATGCCAATAAGAAAAGGAAATAAACTTATTGTAAGCTTCATATTGATTGTCATAACGGTAATCTTGTATCAAGATGAGGGTAGGCTGTATGCTAAACACCGGGAAATATCACAGTATATCCCTTCGCCCAACCCTTGGACAATAACCTTATAGTACTCTTGAGATTGACATGGCATTCGATACGACCATGATTCTCGTATCAAATTACTTTAGTTCTGTTTTCATCAGACCGAAGTTGCAAAAAACAAAAACGCTATTTTAACTAGCCCGATCTAAAATTAGCCAGCTAATATGCGTCCTCATCAGCCCGCAGTTGCAATTAGCGGGCTATTTGGTCGAGAAAGTATCCCGAGAAATCTTGGTCTTGTTTCCAAAATAACCCGATATTTGGGAAATAGCGGGCTAACTGGCGCCCGTCCGAGCTAGTTTGTGAGCAATTTCGAGCTTCGGGAAAATATCCCGAGTCTGATAAAATAGCGGATTATTTTGCAACTTCGGTCTGATGATGACAGGCCTCTTGTTGAAGGAAGTGATGGAGGAAGCTCTTGCTGATAAATCATTTCAAAAGTATATTGTATTGAAGAGAAGGTCGTGTTACCCTGGTCAGTAAAGGTGAAGATTAATTTGAGAGCTTTCCAATACGCTTATCTTTTTCCTATCTGAAAGAATATCATATTTGGAATATTACAGTACTCGAAAAGGATGTTCAGCTGCCCTTTAAAGGCATTGCTTAAGTTTTACAAATCTGAGATACATTATGTCCCTACGTGTAATCAGTGTCTGTGATATAAATATCGAAGCCATAAGACAAAAAATGGCGATTAAAAATAATCATAAAGTGCCTCAATAGAGTAAAAAAAATTGAGTGAACGGTTTTACCATACTCATTTATCATGGGCCCTAATCATATTTTGTATCATAATTATCAGGGGGGTGTTTCATAAAGCCGTTCGTAAAGCTACGCATGAATTTACGAACGACTTATATATGAAAAGCCAAATGGAAAGCTCAATGTTTTTAACTGCATCAATTAAAGTTGAACTGTGCAGATGTAGATTAACATTCTTATAACAAACATTGTTAATACAAAGTATATTTTTTTTTGCCATAACTTAATTGAGGTTATTGGAAATATAGTCACACTTTGTGAAAACATCAGGAAAAACTTTGGGCATGCTATCTGGCACTTCATATTCAGCTCGTTCGTAAAGTCATGCGTAACTTTACGAACAGGTTAATGAAACACCCCCAGGGTTGTATCTTGAAAGCCATGCATGGTGCAATACACAAGCTGTTCTTCAATGCTACGTCTGGCAAGAAATCACTATCATTGATGGCGCATTATACTTTCTTCCATACGTTATAAGTGTTTATATTCATTTGTTATGACCGTTGCAGGTGATGCGTCATTTGCCTGACTTACGAATGCGTCATTGCCTGATGTGATGTTTGATGCGTCATGAGATTATATAGTGGGCAGTGCGTAAAGTTTGCTGAATTACTGGCTTTCGTACTAGTTGATGTTGTTGTTGTTTTAGTTTTTGTTGGCGTGTTTCATTTATGTATGGATATTTACGCCCTATCGAGGTCGTAGATTGATTAGCCTAGGTACTGACGCAATCATATTAACGCATCATCATGTTCGTCATATTCTAGGGCTGTATCCCGAGAGTCATGGTGCAGTACACAACCTGTTCTTCAACGCTACGTCAGGCGAGAAGTCGCCGTCATTCATGGCGACCATGAACTACACGGAGTGGTTTGACACAGGCGCAGAGCCGATTTGGGTGACGACTATCCTGCAAGGTGGCAAGGCCGGTACCATTCTGTACACGGGGAGTAATGTGCCTATCAAGGGAGTGCAGCCGACAAAAAATATACCAATTAATCTATCAGGATCATGGTGGGTATATAGCTTCTTCTTCTTTTTCTTCTTCTTCTTCTTCTTCTTCTTCTTCTTCTTCTTCTTCTTTTTCTTCTCGAGCGAGCTCCAGAGTTTTTGTAAGTTTTGTCGGAATTATACTGTTTATAATTACAGTTTTAATACTAGTGTACTACTAGTACACAGTACAACCATACCAAACCAAGTCCACCTTTCTTGTGTGTTAATATTTGTAGTTTTTATGCTTTTTTTGTGGTAACCTTGTGTAAGAATTTTTTGGCCACTATGGCCAGTGAAGCCGAACAGGCCTCCCGGGATAAGCCGGGGACCAGCTCGGCTCAAAATACCGTTCCTGTTTCTGCTGCCGAGCCGTTCAAGGCCGTAAGCAGAAACAATGGTATCGTTTTTGGTTCTGCAGCACATGTTCCTGTTCATGATTACATAAGAGCGTTTGTAGACACCATTCCAGCTCATTGTATAGTGTCTGCCTCTCGTATCAGTAACCAACGTATTGCTATGTATCTGAATTCCAAAGAAGCAGTCTTGAGTGCCGTTAACAATGGTTTGACCTTTAGAGGCGCATTCATACAAGTCTTACCTTTGGTTTTGCCCACAACACGTCTCACACTATCTAATGTTTACTCAGAAATTCCGAACTCTGTTCTTGTAAAACAAGTCTCTGCTTTTTGTAAAGTAGTCTCACAGATTCGTCCCATCCCTATTGGTTTCAAGGATAAACAACTAGCTCACATCATGTCCTTCCGTCGACAAGTCCAGGTGCTGCTTACTCCGAATGTTACCCTACCCGATTTCGTTAACTTTATTCACGCAGGCACCAATTATCGCGTTTTTCTTTCCACTGAGGCGGCTCGCTGTTTTGAGTGCGGAGAGGCTGGACATATCGGCAAGAATTGCAAAAAAACCGCTCGGCCAAATGAGTCCGCAAACTCTACCCTTACGTCAACACAGGCAAAAGGAAAATCTGACCCACGACATCCCCCCAAAGTGTCTAAACCCTTACGGTCTGAACCTGAAACCCTTAATCTGAGGACGTCCCCAGTACACACAGAAAAGCCTAGCGGCTCCAGCCCTAGGCCCGCCTCTTCGCGTTCAATGGTTGACGAAACCGCTGAAGGGGCCCTTGCGCGTAGGCCTACAACTCCGGTTGCGATAGTTTCCCGTAGCATTAATAATAGTCCACCTAGCAGCTACCCCACAGGCAGTAGCCAGGACAAAGTTCCTCCTCTCGTAACCCCCACAATTTCTTTGACCCAAACCCTTTGCGACCCCATCTGGGGAGCACCGCCCGCCCCGTCCAGACTTTTCGCAGATGTTGTTAAAAGGAAACAACCTCCCGAACCTTCTTTGGTAGACTCCCCTAAACTTACTCCAATTGTGTCTGCTACCCCACCGCGGAAACTAATGAGAAAAGTTTCCTCTCCCGTGACCTCAGAACCTCCCTCCCCTGTATCAGTATCGCTCCCTGCGTCACCAATCCCATCCTCTCCCGCTTCCACGGTAGACACTGTCGACACTGATGACGTGGCGGAATGGGATGATACACAGACTGACGATGAATCCTTTGACTGGGCCTCCTCTTTTCCGTCCAGTCAAGGACCCCTCTCTTCAAAGGAAATTTGCAAGTTTCTAAAGATTGTCAAAGCACGGAAAAAACCTCTAGAGGTAGCGAGAAAATTCACTTCCAACATATCAGGACTTGTAAGACAACTTAGACCCCTGAGGAACAGTCCTCTGTTTACTAAAAGTACACAGCAGAGGATTTACAAATTGATCAAAAATTTAGATATCTAATATGGCCATCTTCTTATGTAATATGAGCGTAGACCTGCATGCCTTTCTCTCCCTTTTTATGACGCTGTCGTTGCTCACCCTTAATACTGGAGGTTGCTCCAATGCCATGAAGAATGCTTCAGTGTTTAGTTATGTTGATAATATTGCGTTTGATTCTGACATTGTGTTTCTACAAGAAATTAATGACCTCTCCCAGAATTCTCAATGTTGGAATTTGTGGTCATCCTATAAACCTTTTTGTGCCCCCGGGCATAATCGAGGATCCGGAGTAGCTACCCTTGTGAAGAACAATCTTTGTAGTGATATTGACTCCTTAGTTATACTTAATAGCCACATTATATATGTTAAAATTGAGTTCGATGGTGGTATGTATCATTTATATAATGTGTTAATGCCACAAGATGACGGCCTTGCTATTAAGGCTGTTCATCTTCTTGCGTATCATGTTAATCAGTGCAGTGATGGTGTTATTATTATTGGCGGTGATTATAACTGTACCCTATCTCCGTCATTAGACAGATTGTGCATGCCTAATGAGCATAGACCTAAGTTATCTTCTGCCCTCAAGGAAGTGATTGATAGTAATAAACTATGTGATACGTGGCGCAGACTTCACCCTCATGAAAAGAAATACTCTTGGCATAGGAACAACCCTCACAGCGTTAATGGTGTTTCTAAAGCCAGACTTGATCGTTTTTATGTGTCTTTTCCCCTAATACCTTCATTACACTCTTGTCGTATTCTACCTTGTACTCTCTCTGATCACTGTGCGATTTCCCTGAAAATTAAAATTCCCCCACAGAAGCCAAGAGGATGTGCTTTTTGGCATCTTAATAATTCCCTTCTTGATGACAATGACTATAAAAGTATTATTAGTCATTTCTGGACTGACTGGCAAAATAAAAAAAGCCGACTTTCCTAACATTCTGTCATAGTGGGACTTTGGTAAATCCCACATTAAGGTGCTCACTCAAATGTACGGATCTAAGTTAGCCAATGAGAAGAAGGAAACGATATTGAATATCAATAAAACCATCGACGAACTGCATTCTTCGCCTGAATTCACGCCTGATATCCAGCAGGCTCTTGCTGAACAAAGAACTGAACTAAACATTCTCCTTAAGAATCAAGCCAAGGGTGCTCTTGTAAGGTCACGTTTTCAATATGCTAATGAGATAGACACTAGCTCATCCTATTTTTATGGTCTTGAAAAATCAAACTCTACTTTTAAAACACTCTCTCGTACCCGTCTCCCTTCGGGTAACATTACAGAGGATCAGAACGATATTAAAATTCACGTTCGGAATTTTTATAAGAATTTGTACTGTCGTGTACCTATTGATGAAAATTCGGTTGATACTATTTTATCTGATCTATCGAAACTCAACCCTGAGGATTCAAAACATCTTGACGCTCCTTTGTCATTCAATGAACTTGATATTGCTGTCACACAGCTCGGCAAAAATAAAACGCCTGGTCTAGATGGACTTTCTTCTGAATTCTATCAGACTTTCTGGCCCTTGATAAAAAATGATCTCTTCTCTGTATTACAATATGCCATAAGTACTGGAACCCTCCCACATACTTTTCGTAGAGCAGTGATTACGTTGATTCCTAAAAAAGGAGACCTGGCAGACATTGCAAACTGGCGACCAGTCTCTCTTCTAAATAATGATTACAAAATTTTTGCAAAGATACTTGCCAATAGATTGAAACATTATATTACTAACATTGTATCTGAAGACCAAACGTATTGTGTTCCAGGTCGAACGATTTATGACAACTTAAATTTGATCCGAGACATTGTACACTTCTCTAATTGCAATGATACCCCTCTTGCAGTAGTTAATTTGGATCAAAGGAAAGCCTTCGATAATGTAGATCATAATTATCTCTTCAATACCATGAGAGCTATGGGCTTTGGAGAATATTTTATTTCTTGTATTCAACTTTTGTATAATGACGCAGAGAGCTTAGTCAAAGTGTGTGGATCCCTCACTGCGCCTTTTCCTTTTCAAAAAGGCATACGCCAAGGTTGCCCTTTATCTGGCTTTCTGTATTCTATAGCCATAGAACCTTTTCTTCACAAGTTAAAAGTTAATCTTTCATCGTGTTCTTTCTCCTTACCCAACACAGATATGAATGTCTCGGTATCTGCGTATGCGGATGATATATCAATTTTTGTCACTGAAGACAAAGGCTTTGGTATTATTCTAGATACATATAACACTTTAAGCAAGGCCCCGGCTGCCTGTCTTAATTATGTCAAATCTCAAGGACTGTGGGCCGGATCATGGTCGAAACGTAGAGACAGGCCCCTTGACTTCCTGTGGAATTGCGAAGGTCTCCTCTTTCTTGGAGTTCATCTAGGAAACAATAATAATTATGTAAACAAAAATTGGTCAAAGTGTAAAGAAAAACTGAGTAAGACTCTATCTCGATGGAGCTCCCTTTCTTATAGTTTGTCCTTTAAAGGCAGAATCATTATTGCTAATCAATTAGCTGCATCTAAACTTTTCCATTGTCTTGCAGTTTTGTCTCCCCCTCAGCAAACACTAATTGAACTCCAAGAAATGCTTATTAATTATGTCTGGTCTGGTAAACGACATCTTTTAAGAAAGCAAATTCTGTTTCAACAACCCAACAAAGGTGGACTTGGTTTGGCATGTCTCCAAGCACGAACCCTTACATTTCGTTTTGCCTTTTTACAGCGTTATCTCAATCTCTGTTCTCATCCTGCGTATGCCCTTTGTTCTCATAATTTTCGCAGATATAAGAAACTAAATCTTGATTTTCCTTTGTTTCTGACTGAATTAGACCCAAAGTTTTATACCAGCCTTCCTTGTTTCTATTCGGAAATTTTGCGTGCTTGGATTACCTCTGGAGCAAGCGTCGAGACATCGTCCTTTACTGTCAACCATGTGTGAAACATTCCCTTGAATTATTATAAATTTCTTCAATTTACACTGGATGGCGACAAGATCTTCCCTGTTAGACTATTTGCATGTGGAATCAAACTCGTCAAGCATCTTGTAAACCCGAACAACGGTACCTGGCTCCGAGCAGACGAGGTCGTCATTGCCTCCACTTTGCAGCGTCCGTCTTTACGCCTTTTGGAACTTGACCTCTCTCGACTTCACAAAGAGATTTCCGGTTTGTTTCCTAGATTCTTTTCGAACAGCGGACTAAGACTGTCAGCAGCTTCAGCTTATCTTCATAATCTGACTGAACCTGTTACCTCTCCGTTCTCGATCATAACTAAAGACAACAAGAACATTCTTGCCACGCCGACTAAATCGATATATCGAATCTTCAACCGTGCTATTAACTTTCTTCCTAGAGCTCAAGTTACTCATTGGCACGAGGCTGGGTTACTTTCCCCTTCTAAACTAATCAACTGGACTGAAATCTACTGCTATCCATCATCTAAGAAAGATGGGGACACTCAGTACAAACTATTACACAATGTTCTTCCGTCGCTTGCCGTTCTTCATCATCTTAATCCCGATATCTCCTCTTCATGTGGATGGTGTGGCAAGAAGGGAACTATTCTACACCTCTTTATCGAGTGTACTTCTATACAACCGGCCTTGGATCTTCTTCATCATCTTCTGTCAAGTCTTCTACCCGAAGTAAACATTGACTTTGACCTCTACTGGACTCTGGTTCCACATGCAAGAGGTCGTAACAGGGAGGCCGTGCGCCTATCCAACTTTTTTATTGTCATTCTTAAAAGCACATTATATTGGCTTTATCGTACCTCTCGTTTTCTTGATCCACTTCCTTTTTGGAAACTTAGAATCAAGAACAGAGTCATTCTTGATTATGAATTTCACAAATTACAAAACAATTTGGTGTTATTTCATAAGATATGGTCGTACAATAATGTACTCTTTCTTTCAGATGACATTGATCTCACATGGTTGATTTAATTGTTGTTTGTGATAAGTTTGTCTTGAGAAGAAGCTCATAGTTGGAAGTTATGAATTCCCATAATTTAATCGTTTTGAAACACTCTATGGATGTGTAATCATTTGTAATCAGTGTTTAGTACAATTTATGTTTTTTCTCAATTTCTACCGTCGAAATTATTGTTTTTTTATGAATTGTTTAATGGTTACTTTCTCATGTATTACGTACTACTTGTTGTTGATTATTGGTATATGATTCACAAACACTTATTATATTAAGTGCATCACTGTTAATTTTTTTATCTGTTTTAATTATTATATGTATTGTAAATAAAGTTTTACTTTCAAAAAAGTCTTCTTCTTCTTCTTCTTCTTCGTGTTGTTGCTTTTGTTCTACATTTGCCACTCTCCACCCAGGTGTAAATGGGTACCTGATATGCTTGAGCGCTAGTTACTTTGGCAGCTCGGCTATAGCCAGGGTAATATGTGTAAAGCGCCATGAGCGTCAGAGTCTGGCGGATACCGGCGCTATATAGATAATAACCATATTATTATTATTATTATTTTTGTTGATGTTGTTCTTGTTTTTGTTGTTGTTATTGTTGTTGTTGTTCTTCTTCTCATTTTGCTGTTTTAAAGCTCATAATACACGACGTGTCTTTTGCTGAAATTGGGCTGCAGCCTTTGACGCACAGCTACGCTAACCAAGCGTATGCAGTTGATTGGTGTAAGCACCATAATCGAACGCAATGCTTGCACTGTTTATTTTTTCATTCGCACCATGTACGTTATCACTCTGCCGTGGTATGTCAAAGACCTTGCCCTGCTTGGACGCAGTCATACGTCAGTGAAACTAGGGACCTTTCGATTTGCACGTCGACATAGTGGACTGCTACGTGTGACGTCCTTGTAAGGATGTGGGACGTCCTGTTACGGCACTGACAGTGCATTCGAAGGACGTCACATTTAGCCGTCCACTATGTCGACGTGCAAATCGAAAAGTCCATAATGCCTCGTGTGCAACGCATACCGTTCCCTAATCAAAACTGGTCTGTCACAATTCTTTATTGCCTTTTTTCCCCCCGATTTCGTATAAAGCTTTGGTTTACCGATGGGGGATCGCATCGATACGGCGTTGTCATGGATGACGGACGAGGATTTCGACATCGTGGTCATCTACTTCAACCTGCCCGACTTCAACCTCCACAGCTACGGCACCGAGGACCAGCGCACCTTCGATACCCTGCACGAGGTCGACGAGGCCATCGGCTACCTCTTCGATCGCATTGACGAAGAAGGCCTGACCGACATCGTCAACGTCATCATCGCCAGCGACCACGGGCACATCAATTCTGAGGTTGGGAAACATGTCCTGCTGTACGACTACATCAACAGTTCGGATGTCGAGTTCATTGTCGCTGACTATGGTCCATGCTTTCAGCTCAACCCGATCGAGGGAAAGCAAGATGAGGTAAATTACAAAAGTAAATAAAATTTGAGAAAAAACAAGCAAACAAGCAGACAGACAAACAAACGAACGAACTAGCGGACTAATAAACAAGCTCACAGAGTACTTTCATATACAGGCTCCTTACTGGCAAAGCTTGTAAAATTGTCTTGAGTGACAATCAAAATTGATGTTTACTTCATGAATGGTCCTCAGAAAATGTTACAGCGCCATCTTCTGATCTTGTGAACATTCATTATCGTGAATTCGACAAAGAGGTTTAAGAAATATTCCCTCCCCTTCCCTTCCCTTCTTCTCTATTTCCCCACTGTCTCTTCTCCTAATTATCTCTCTCTCTCTCTCTCTCTCTCTCTCTTTCCCTCTCTGTTTCTCTCCCTTTATCTCTCTTTCTCTCTTTCTCTCTCTCTCTCTCTCTCACTTTCTCTCTTTTGTTTTATGTTTCTCTCTCTCTCTCTCTCCCCACTCTCTACTCTCGTTCTATCCATCTCTTATCTTTCCCATATTCCTACACGCGTTCGCCCTCCATCCCTCCCTCTGTCTTAAAATGAATGAATCTTCTTCCCTTCTCGATCCACATGTCTTTCTTTCTCCTGTCTACACCCTTGCTCATTACCCCTCTTCCCCTTCCCTTCTTCCCAACCTTCCTCTCTCTGTCTAAAATTGTCTGTATCTCCCTCCCTTCTCGATCCACATGTCCCCTTCCCCCACACCCTTGCCCATTCTCCCTCTCCCCATCTCCCCTCCTCTTTTTCCTTCTCCCCTCCCCTTATCCCTGTCTCTCTGTCTCTGTCTCTGTCTCTTTCTCTTTCTCATTCCATCCTTCCACCAGGTTTACACAACTCTGAAGAGCGCCCACCCAGCACTCACTGTGTACAAGAAGGAGGAGCTACCTGAGAGGTATCACTATGGCAATAACGAACGTGTTCTCGATATCTTCGGCTGCGTTGATCCGGGCTGGCATCTTCATACGGTAAATTCCAAAACAATTGTTTGGGGGAAACCATCCAGTTATAAAAGAGAAGGTTGAGTGTTAAAAGAAGAACTATTGAAATATGTATGAGCTTTCTCATGGTTATTTAGGAATATCGAAGTAGAAATGTTCTTTGAAGAGGATTGCCCTTAAAATATCGCCAGTGTATCCTAAAAATTAATCTAAGTGTAGTCCTAGTTCCATATACCCTCTTTTGTGTGCCGTGCATGATATTCTAAGCAAGACTAAGTCAATTTCTTGTCAGTTTTTCATTTCGTTTAGTTCATTATAAAACTTCACAATATACACAAATTCGTATGTCCTACATCATGCAACCTTTCCACCTTGCATTATTTATTAACACAATCCTTGTAATGATGATGACTCGCTAAGTCGTCCTTTCTCCTCAAATATTATCACAACTGATTATTTTGGTTTATCTCTGAATTCATTCAAGTTATCGCAATGAGCCTAATTTCATTGATTATTTATCGATTAAAAAAAATGTCCTCTTTTTTTCTTCTTCATTTTCATCTCTCTTAGACAATCCAAGGCAACGATACATTCCTTATCTCCGATCATGGCTACGATAACAAATGGATGGTAATGAAATCCTCTTTCTATGCCCAGGGTCCGCACTTCAAGAAGAACCACCGCGCCACACCTTTCGAATCGGTATGAAAAACTGACTCAACAATGCCCTTTGCACGTTAGGCGTCTCTTATTGACGTAGGATTGCGTCAATGACTTGCGCATGCGCGATATTCGACGCGTCATTAATTGACATTGACATCGTATTCAAATGTGAATGCAAAATGGACAGTACCAGCGTATGGGGTAATTACCAGGGCCCGTAATTAGTAAACTTCTAAGACATTTTTCTTAAACTTCAACAAAAAATTATTTGACTTTAATTGTCCTATTGAATATGGACCCAGAGGTTTATTTTAGCGTAGGTAATCACGCGCTCGACATGACAACTCTTCTGCCTCGGGCATTACATAACAGGGCCCGTATTCAGTAAACTTTTAGGAAATTTTTCTTAAGATTAAGAAAAATGTCGTTTATTGAACACTGACCAAGTTTTTATTCAAAAACAGTACATGATCCGAAGTATGACAAATTCACCATCTTCACCAAAATGTTTTGTTCCTTTTTCTCAATATTTTATACTTGCAGGTCGACATCTACTCGATGATATGCGAGATCCTTTCGCTCCACCCAGCTCCAAACAACGGATCACGCGAACGCTACGAGGCCATATTTGCTATTACAGGCGCAGCGAACCGGTCGGTTTCCGCTACGGTGCCTATCTGTGTGTTTCTCTTCATAACTTCAATGTCATTATTCATGTAAAGCGTATTGGGTCCAAATGGATTTTCGCAATGGGGTTTCTGGAATATTATTTCAGCTGATATTTTTGTATGGTTATGAAAGGGTACGTTGTAAAATGTTTATAACAACATTTTGTTCATATACTCCAGCACAAAGAGAGTACCATCGGCCTTCACGCTGCGTTGTTTAGAATCCCTCGAAAGTTTTTGAACAAGATGTTTTATAAGTGGTTTATCTATTTTGATTTTATTGTGTACAGTTAGGGAGATGGGGAGTATTCTCGCCAGCATATAACAGTCATGTAAATAGTAAAGTATCTTCAGAACTTTCGATAGATACCTGTATGTGAAATATTTGATATAACTGTTTAAATCTGATGCTTCAACTTAAAAATATATATATCTTTCTGTTTGGTATCCATATCGGTTTGCTTTTTATGTATGAATGCTTTCATGATGTGACTCAGGTTAATGTTCTAATAATGTATTGTCTGCTGATCGAGATCTGGAACGGTGTTGACTCATTCTTGTTCAACTTTAATTTAAAGGGGACATCCACCCTGATATAAAGTTGGTTTTAATTGTAGCAGAAATTTAGAGAAACAAGTTAGTGACAGTTTGAGCTAAATCCGATACAAAAAAAGGAAAGTTATGAATTTTTGAAATTATCATCAGTAAAACACAAATTGGCAACACTGTGACGTAGCGTGCGAGCTCCTTTCCAATTTGCTCCGTACAGACAATTATTACAAGCCCTGATTCATCGTAGTTATTGATGACGGAATAGACTTGTTTCCTATAGCAGTGGCGGATCCAGGGGGGGGGGGCCCGGGGGACCCGGGCCCCCCCCCCCCCCCTTGAGAAAAAAATCATGTAAAATCACGTGATTTTTACCTTTTTTTGGGGTTGGGCCCCCCCCCCCCCCTGGCGCTCAAGGGGGGGGGGGGGTGCAAATTGAAATTTTTTGAGGATCAACAAAAAAAAAAAATGTGCTCACTACCCCCCCCCCCCCTACCCCCCCCCCCCTACCCCCCCCCCCCCCCCCCCCCCCCCCCCCCCCCCCCCCCCCCCCCGCTGAGCGAATTTTTGGCCGGCGCGTTTTTCAAATTTTCGGGAACAAAAAAACAAAAAAACAAAAAAACAAATTGTGCTCTGTACCCCCCCCCC